AGACGACCTGAAAACCGATTTGGCCAACTTTTTCGTAGCGCAGCCGCCAGAGTTCTATTGGAATGGCATCCATAGTTTGCATAAACGTTGGCGTGAAGTGATAGAGGCCAATGGTGATTACATTCATGATTGAGATGATTTTGCTTTTAAATAAACTGGGTTGTAATAATTGTTCATGAAATTCCGAGAACTTTCTTTCCAATCAGATAACATAACATGATAATGTGACTAACACAAACCAGTCAATAAACCTCTAGTTCTATGCATGTCCATCGTCAAGCAACGGTATTTGACAAAGTATCTCCAATCTATCCTGGTAAGTCAATGTAAATCAAACCAAAGGAACCCTACGTACAGTATATATAGGGCTCGCCCGCATAGTAACAGTAGTGATGGCATTATACCAGTCTTTTGCTGGACAAGTAAACCACTGCCTGAAAATTATTAGTGAGTACTCCCCAGGACTCGCCAACCTTTGAGCGCTGTGCACATGCCATGTCAGAAGTATGCCTACATAGGTTCTCTCCATGCCATACGTGAATTTCAATTTCCCTGGTTAAATTCGAGTTGACAGCATTATGTATGTCATACCGTCTCTGAAAAACATGAGAAATATACCAAGGCTTACGTAAAAATTCAGTTACATAGCAATGGGAAATTGAAATGATTCCTCCAAATTAAGGGTATAAAACGCAGCAGGAATTCCCGCGGGCGATTCGGACGTGCTCTCGTGGCCTATACCCGACTTAATCATCACTTCCTAACTGGCAAACCACATGACTTTCAGAATCACTACATTCCTCAAGATCAAGTGTCCTGACAGTTTGGTTCCTTCCTTTCTATCCAGTAGCTTGAGTTCCGCTCTCACAACTGGAGCTAGAAAGACGTGTTTCCAACAGTGGCGTAGGAAATCGGCACGGGGGGGGGGGGGGGGGGGGGGGGGGGGGGGGGGGAGCCGCACGTTCCTGGTACCAGGCCGCAACGAGGCCGACAATGGATGGAAGGGACTTATTTCTCGCTTTTTCATCACTTCATCTTCACGATCCCACCCCAAGTCCTTATTCCCAACCCTGCGCCCAGCTCCACAACCCGGAATTTACCTTTTCAAAGAAATCATGATCTGGCATCTTGGGTCTGTGGACGGACATCAGTCTTTCCTCGAAGGGGCATAGCTAAAACTGGAATTCCCAAGGAAGGTTGAAATACGCCTGTCAGTGCCACTGACTGGGAAGTCTAAGGGGGGGGTTCTAACCCCGTAAACCCCCCCCCCCCTTCCCTATACCACTGGTTTCCAATCGTACAGGCCAAGCCACCTCAAATTTCCCTCCCCCTGCATATGCCCCTGCCTGGGACAGTGGCCCCAAGGTCATAAATACCCCAATATACATAGGGCCTTGGTGTATCAGTGACCTGTTCTAGATATTGAAGTTACCAGCATAGTTTCTGCAGATACACAGGTCATGTCTCCATTAAAAGCCCTTACAGAAGGTCCCACTGCATGGGCTGAGTAATAAGAAATAACCCTTGCAAGAACAGACTTGAAAATCTATGAAATAGGGCCCCTAAAGGATATTTAAAAAAATGAGAAAATTATTTTAATATGATGAATGCACAAACTAGTACTGTACTACATCATTTAAAAAATCACCCAAAGTATGAAGAAGTACAGTATGATAATTTCAGTTATTGCAATACTCTATATATTACAGGGGTTCTTAACCTTTTTGCACCTATGGAACACCCCCACCCCCAGTTATCAGAAACTTTGGAACACCTAGATCTGTGATTATAAATTGTTTTTTTTTTTTTGGGAGCTACCTTCAATTGTATATTTAATTTTCCACAGACCTCCTGGACCTACCCTACCGACCCAGGTTAAGAACCCAATATAATAGAGTGTTTGCTGGTCCCCATTTCCCAATATGCAGAGTTGACTGAACATAAATGAATAGTTGAAGCAGCCCAATTTCCTGCCTGATTCTTAGCTCTTGATCTCATTTATCTTGTTCAACCAATTTTCCAATTGTGAGCAAAAAATTTCAACTCTCTTACATTACAGCACATCTCAAAGTGTAATCTAAACAGCAGAAACCTTACATAATGGGTACTTTTCTTCCTATTGTGGGGGGAAGGGAACCAGACAGTTTGGCTATGTGACACTAGCAACCTTAACCCTTCCCATGGCAAATTAATATGGGAGTGGTCAGAGATGCACTGAACTCAAGACAAAACTTGCTTGTAACAGAGATTCTTTGCTATATGCCTGAATAGATAACTGTTCAGTCTTTCAATTAGACTTTTGTTTTCCCTGAAATCTTTGCTGCACATGCTGCTATAAGTTTTGAATGAACTTAAAATTGTCTCCAAATGGAGATGCTATCATGGAAAGGGTTAATCTGGCTCTGGGTTTTGGAAAAACAGAATGAATGCATGGAATGCACAGAATATGGACAGGGCATGCAATACATAGGTATATACAAATGAAGACAGGCTGCATTTGCCTTAACACTTCAGGGAAGTTGGCAAGCAACAACCAATTATGGCTTCTAATGGATACTTCACAGCTAAGATTGTCCAGTATGCCCTGTCATCTTACTGTATTTGTCAATAGTAACTTCTTTTATTAAAAAAAAAAAATCATTTCCTTCATTCCTTTCAGTCCTGGCAGGACTCAGGAGTCCCTCATTTTTGGTGTGATGCTTTCAAGGATATTTTTTCTGGTTACATGAAAGGGAAAGAAGAATGATTCAGCTACAAAATGCTTTTTTTTAGACTTGAAATATCTTGAAGGATGACCTATAAAAAATGTATTGAATTTTAGTTATGAAAAATCAGTGTTGCACTCACCAATTCAACCCAGCATTCACTTGACATCCCTGCACTCAAAAAGGAAGGGAAATGCTGACCTTAGCAGACATCACAGGGCTGATTGGATGTGCCTGCTGCCATATGCGGTCGGTGAGCGCAGCGTTGATTTTTAGTAACTGATATTCAATTTTTCTCTAGGTCATCCTTTAAGATATTTTAAATTTGAAAAAGTATTTTGTAGCTAAATCTTCCTTCTTTCCATTATGTGTAATCAGAAACGACATCCTTGAAAGCATCACACCAAAAATGCACATTGAAATGAGTGCCATTTTTTTGGGCCATCCTTAAGGACTGCATGGCCTTGAGGTCAAGCAGAGCTTCTGACTTCCTGTCACCTTCTTCAGAATTTGTATTCTTGTGGTCAACGACACTTCATCGTGGACTGTTGAATAAAGAAAGTTTGTTCTTACATCATTTATATTTTAAATTGAGAGCTGAAAGGGTTACTCCAAGCTTCAATTAAAATTTTTAAAATTTGGAGTATTGAATTTTCAAGCAGGACTGTCATGATTCATAGGTGTGGATGGCAATTTGAAAAGAATCTAAGAACATATAGCTCCATATAGAAGGCTCTTTTACTGAGAGGAAGTGAGACATTAGGCAATGCCAGCAAGTTCCAGTTGAGTCTTCTTCCATTTGTTGAGAGGACCATGATTTGGATGATACTGGACAGTACAGCCATCATTAGTCAACCTCCCTTCTGCCCTCAGGGTCTCAAACGTTCCTCGTTCAAATTTCGTGAAGCCCCATTTGTTGGACATAACAATCTGCAAAGAAGACAGAACATCTTACAGTTTTAGAAAAAAATTATGCAATCAAAGCAATAATGGGCAGAATAATGGCAATTAGCAAGCTACTTGAATTGGAAAGTTTGCAGCCACAGGATAATGAGGTTTACAATGTCTTTCACTTCAGACTTTTTTTCTTCAAAACACTGACACCCATGCACCGGTGTTGTTGGGTGTCAAATGAAAAAAATGTATTGACTCAAATTTTTAAAAAATCCACACCTATGGTAGTAGACACCTAGATGGAATGTAGAACCTTATAACAGTTTATAGGTTAGCTCAAAGACAATTAAATATTTATATTCTACTTTATTATTTCAAATTCCATGATTTGAAATTATTTCTTCTCCACATTGTAAGATCAAGGACTTCTTTAAAAAAAAAAGAACAATCAAATGCACAGGAGCAATGTCATTTTCGGATGATTTTGGCTAACAGGAAAGAGGCCAATGTCAGCTACTACTGCTCTGAAAAGCATCACCGGATACAATTCAGAAAGACAAAATAATAACTATTCATCTTATTTTCACACAAACTTGAAAATTGGCATAAACATGGGACACAGGTCCAATGTTACTCCCGAAGGTCAGTCATTTAACAAAATTTTAAAAATCAAAATTAACATGACATTATGCCTGATAGAAAAGTGCTACAGCAAGAAATGAATGCTGGATGTAATCTCCTTCTGTGTTACAACCCACATTTTTTACCAAAGGATGTATACTTGCTAACTTCCCTTTCACTTTATAGGTTCTTGCATGTTAAATTAAAACAGGACTGATAAGTTAAGTACATACTTTACATAAAATGAGACCAACAGAAACCTCTATCACCCTCTCTCCCCACCCAGTGCTCCCTGTCCAGATATGTCATACTTATGTACCTACTATAGACCATACTGTATATGCCTTATTCATGACCTTTCAGCATTACTCTCCTAGTACAGCATGCCCCAAGTGGATGTTCAGAACTGTAAGCTGTATGCACTATGTAGGCTGCACTTTGAGCACCATTATTCTGATTCCATCAAGGCTTAGGCCACTTCCTGAAGAGCATGTGTAGGATCTATTCATGGTAAAGAACTAACATTAAAATTAAAAAGATGTCACCAATTGGACCTGCCCACAATTTCAAGAAAACCGGAAACAACAAGTACCAGCATTCCTTTCAATGCATGAAACAGTGATTGATCTGTTTCACTTCAATCATGTGCACTGCATATAGTGATATAAAATATAATGATTACAGAGTGCAAGTTTTATTTTCTCCAATTTTTTTCCTCTTTCAACAATAGGACTGATCAGATGGCTATATATTCTCAGCCTGAATTATGATATCCATAAGCTAAGATATACTACAGCTGGAAGCACAATTTTCAAGCTTAACTTTCAATTTTATAACTGCTTGAATTGACACTCACGTGTTGACGGCCAGGAAACTTGAACTTGGCTCTCCTCAGGGCTTCAATGACAGCTTCCTTGTTTCGTTCATGAGAGCGAATGCTCATGATAATTTGTCCAATGTCCACACGAGCCACAGTTCCCTGTGGCTTACCAAATGCTCCTCTCATCCCAGTCTGCAACCTGAAAATCATTCACCATGCCTAAGGTAACACATAAGTTTGATTTTGCAATCCTCCTCAAGCTATGAAGCTTTACAACACTAAAAAACTCTGAATGAGTCATGCATGTCCTCTTGAAATGGAGTGAAGATATTTATTATAATTATATTTTAATGAGAAACCAATTCATTCATTAACGAGCATGAGCAGTTTGTGGATTCTATAATTAAGAACTGCCTTACTCACCTATCAGCACCAGCACATGACAACATTTTGTTGATGCGGATCACATGGAAAGGGTGTAGACGGATACGGACATGGAACTGATCTTTCCCACAGTTCTTCACCAAATACTGCACCAGAGAAAACAAATGGAAATTTTAAAATTTTCTTTTAACTTCTGTATTCTAGCAGTTGGGCTATTTGTCACCTCCACACCTCTGATCAGTTAGTCTTCATCTATGCATGTCCAACAAAGATTCATAACAGAATTTGGTGATGGGACATAGCTGCACATTATTGAATGATTCCAGAAAGCCACGGATAAATGAAATAGTAAAAGCTTCAGAATGGCACCTAATTCTACCAACATATCTCGGTAAGTCCTAAGTTTTATCTTTATCTTTTTTTTTTACACAGGAAGGTATAAGTTTATAATTCTGCAGATCTATCTTCCCTATGTGAATTTAAATTGTACTTGAAAGCCTCCAGACCTTGTTGGCGCAGATTCGACCTGCTTCCAGAGCTTCAGAGGACAGCTGTTCATGCTCTTTCGAAACAAGATGAATGCAGACTGGAAACTCATCAACATCAGCTTTCTTCCTCCCCAAGTCAAAGATCCTAATTTTTGGATCAGGAACACCTCGACAGAAGCGTGACTTGGGATAAGGTTTATTCTTGCAGTAGCGATAGCTGCAAGACAAGAACATGGATTAAATGACTAAATTAAAAGAGTGGTCCAAAAGCAAAGCCTACAAGTTCAAAAGGTTAATGGTATTTTAAATGAAGAACCTATGGACTTTCCTCATGTGAACAGAGGGAAAACTTGTCACAAGCCTGCACAAGCACTAACCTATCATTTCATTTGCAAAAAGTAACAAGTACAAGAAATGATCAAGAACTTCATCGCATATAATTTACAATGTACTTCTCTAATATCCACATTGCCTTATTGACATGAGATGGACCAAAAACTGCTTTAAAAATTTTTGCTTTTAGTCCATGTAAACCATCCATGTCAGCAGCTACTCTCTCTACTGGGTTCTACCTGATTTTTGGGTAACCTTTAATTTAGGCCTAAACCACAAATCTGACCTATGATCATGAACAAGCTTTGGTCTAGGAATAAGCCCTTGGAGAGGCTAGTGGCTTAGTAAGTGAAGAGCTTCCAGCAGGGCTGGATTAAGATTAATAATTTGGGAGACCCTGGGCAGGTGGATTCTTGAGGCTACCCCCCCCCCCCCCCCCCTTTATCCAGCCCTGGCTTCCAGATATGAAATCAAGATTCAAAAACAACAAAATAAAGGGCTTATTTAAGTTCATACTCCATCATGTTTGAGACCCTGGAGCACTAAGCACTCCAATATTTTGATTGGGGTGCTTAGTGCTCCCATTAAAAAACCCAAATAAAGAATGTTCATCAAGGAACCCAAGGTATGAGGGCAAATCCCATTTGGCAGCCAACAATTTGGGTCAAATTGTTTCCCTGCATCGCCAATGGATCTCAAGGAAAAGGCTTTGTGAGTTTGGGGAGGGCTTTCAAGGATTCGAAAGAGATGGAAAATTCGTAGAGCTTCAGCCTCCTGCCCCTGATACTAGAGGCTAAAAGCAATACCTGCCTATTTCAATCTAACGTTAAGCGGTTTATCGTTTAGACATAGGCTTTGTCCTATAATATAAGCAAGGTATATTTGAAGGGAAACTGATATGCTTATCCATACAAACATGTGAACAAGGCAGAAGCACTATTTTCCTGACATAAAACTTGAAGACTAAGGCTAATATAGGCCTAACGTTAAGCCTATCACTAGACCTAGGGTTCTCACCAGCGGGCTGGTCGCCTCCCCATGGCTAGGCTGTTCTCGATACCTATAAAAGAGCGGTAATATTTACGGTGATACAGCTGGATGCAGTTAACACTCAAACTATCAAGAAATCCAAATCAATTTCACTGATAGGTTCCCACACAAGTTAACTTAGCCTTCTATATCACTCACCTGAGGCGAAAGGAAGGTCTCGACTATGTCATATTCGACTGACACTATTTCCATCTGGCCGCTTCTAGCCCTCCTCTTCGTTTCAACATGTACTTGTCTAATTAACCAAATATCATGACTGAGATATGGTTAATCATGTAGTACCAGTAAAATTATATATAAATGTTTGCCTGGGGATGTGGATTTATGCAAAACTTATTTAGTGCGAGACAACTGCACATGTGGGTCGGATATGCAGCTGAAGATGTCCGCGATCATGGAGCCTCGCGAAGATCACGTGGACATCACAATATACCCAATATACCACGAGAAACAGGTCGGTAAGGCCCCTAATAACGTTAGACTCAAAAGGTCGCCTCAAGGAGGCTAATTTAAATGTGAACCTATGCATATATACTCGCTTTGAAGTCGACGTGAATGCTCATCGTTGTGAGTTTGCTTTTTACATTTCATTCAGATGATTTCCCAATGTCCGTGTATTATGTGAAAGCTTAAAAAATGGAAAGTTTATTTGTTTCCGAGAACAATACCGTGTGAGTATTATTTTTGTTAAATACAATATTTAATGTAGGTGATGAACCTCCTGAATATTAGCAATGGATAGCGAGGCAATAAAGTTTCGCAGGTGATGTGAATTTACCGCAGGAAATTGATTCTTCATCAAAACCAACATACAGTGTTTCCGAATTGACTTTTACCCCTATTTCATGTGCTTCATGCATTTTTATGGGCTGTACCATCGAGCTGTGCAGTAGCAGTTCCCACACTCATGGAGGAATGTCGTTCTATCAGTTTCACACATCAGTATACCTCTTTACAATTAATGATGATTTATATTACTTGCCGTCCCTCCTATACCATTGACAACAGCACCAGGGAAGGGGGTAGGTGAGTAGAAGTAAATCAAGATGAAGTGACAGAGTAATATTAGCTTGACATTGAACATTGATTTTACAGTCATTTGGTATCCTTTTGTTATTAAAGAAGCCTAGGTCCTAAATATTAGATATCCCAGTGATCTGAGCTGCATAAAAGGAAAGGTATATAACGAATACATAAGGAAAATGACAGCTGATTCATTCATCTATTCTCTCTTGCAGTCCTTTGGCTTTTGTGCACTGCATGCATTGAACAATCTGTTCCAAGATGAATCAGCCTACTCCAGGAATTCCTTGGATGAAATCTGCAAAGCCCTCTCCCCTGGGTCCCTCTTGAATCCACACAAATCTTTGTTTGGCATTGGAATCTATGATGTGAATGTGGTATTTGCAGCTCTTCAGGGCAAAGATTATGAAGCACTCTGGTATGACAAACGTAGGTAAGCCAGAAATCTCATCATTCTTGTATGATCAATCCATTGTTTGTGCAGTAATTTTGAAGATTTCTTCATTCTTTTCCATTCTCTATTTCTTTAAAAGGGACCCATCAACTCTGGAACTGTCAAACATCTTTGGCTTCATCCTGAATATACTTTCTCCTCTAACCATGTGGAATATCTCTTTGGGTGTCAATCGCCGGCACTGGATTGCAGTCAGAGAAATACGAGGAAAATATTATAACTTGGACTCAAAGCTCAATGCTCCTTGGTGCATCGGAGAAGTTGGTATCATATGTACAGGATCTTCTGGCTGTATCTATTGATGGATGATGTAGGACTTTAGATCTTGGAGTGACTTGATCTCTGAATGACAAAAGTAGCCCCTCTTGGTGACCAATATCATAGGTATCATTGAATGGACCTTGAGTTCAAGAATAAAAATGTTCATGGCCAAGAGATATAACTCAAAAAACATTATCAATGTGATGAGACTAGAATAAAGTGTTCTAGAAATGGTAAGAGGCAGAGTTAACTTGAAGTAATCTCTATGAATCAAGTGCACTCCACTTGTGGATATGGATTATTCTGTATCTTGTAATTAAAGTCCTGATTCAGCTTTGAATTTATTTGCTTTTCATCAAATTGACCTATTTTGGTGAATAAGGTGTTTTAAAGCTTTATTAGATGCTTGCAGTTTAAATGTCAATATGACAACCTTAGTTTTTTCATGATTTTAAATTGCTCTCTTTCCTTGTCTATTCCAGAATTTACCATGAGATAGCCCCAACACCCATCACTTGCTAAAATAATTAAACATTAAAGTCAAAATCAGTCACTGTCAGTGCCCATGTCACCTCCTGCCTTTTCTAGAACACCTTTTCTGGTCTCATCAGCTTGATACAACTTTGGATCAATAATTTTAACCTGTTTTGGTCAAGGCCACATAAATTGTATTCCCCTACTTGAGATCCATCTCATGTTACCTATGGTGAAAATTGATGTGAGGGGACACCTTGCAATAAGGTTTTGCATCTTTTCCTTTTTGTCTTTTCTTGTATGAATTGTTGAGTTGAGTCATTTTCTTAGTCTGCACATTGAAGTAGCAATGCTTAGCCTGCAAGAAACTTCCTACTCATGGAAAGAGTGCATGTCTAAATAAGTGCAAAACAATATATGCTCCTGACTGTTTTTTTCTTTTTTAAGCTATCTATGAAATGTAAAAATATTGGTATCACAAGGGTAGTCAATGCACAACTTAGTATATAACTTGTACTGGAAAGATTTATGACATGGGTATGATATTTTCACCATCACAAGTCACTTCTCAGGATAGATTTATTCCCATTTACTTTTGATGAATCTTCTATGTATGTAATGAGAAACTGAATGTATTGCTTATAGGAGTAACTGTGTTATCCATATACTTGAGACTGTTTAGTACATAATTTCCCATTACATATAAGTGTCATTTTTCACTTTTTCAGGTTGAGGAACTTCTGGACTTCTTGAGGGAGAGCTTGAAGGATGAAAGCAAACAGATATTTGTGATAGTGAAGAAGTCAGTTGCTCGTGATCGCCTTTGGCAAAAAAAAGCTTCCCCAGTTTGTGACTGAGAAAGGTAGCAACAGTTTGTTGGAAGAGTGCCTTGTGCCTTCATTGTGATATTGTCCCAATTTTAAAGTTCTAATTGTGTTCAATCTTTTGTGATGTATGCATGTAAATCAATTTTATATGTTTGGGAAATTTGGAAAAAAAATGAAATAAGAAATTCCTGACTATTGTTTCTTTTAAATATGATGACAGTGGAGAAGTAGGAACAGTGGGTGTGTCAAGAATAGGCTTGGGCATAGGCAGGAAATCCCTGGATTTACATCAACAATAGTGTATCCCATTTCATCGTCCCCTCCTGCCATCTCTTGTGATATAAACTATAACTCACCAATTTTTGAACAGATTGAAGAAATTGTGCAATGAATGCATTTTAAAAATTCTATACATAAAACTTTAATAGAGGTTCATTTCATGTAATTTCATGAGAAAGTAAGAACAAGGACTATCAATGTAACAGGATGTGCCACTCTTCAGGTAATTTTCTAAGGTACCAGCAGCCCACTAGTCTGTGTAGATCATGCATTCAGCATTAGCAGAAGAAAAAGACATCTGTCTGTCACTATATGATAATACAAAACATGGAGGTTGGTGGTATGGGAACTATTGCAGTCATTTCAATGAAGAGTGCTTCAGAGGAAAGTCATGATTTCCAGGACCCAAGATTTAAGACATCAACCAGTTGTCATTAAGCAGTTTATCCTTCAGCTAGAAGGACATGAAACATGGTAGGCCAAGAGGAGCTCCAAGTCTTTTTTGTTCTGGCATTACTCCTATTTGAAATTGTGGAATTCAGGATGTTGTCTTGCTTCTTCACTTCTCTTTGAAACTGGGTGAAAGAATATTGGGATGGATTCATGACTCAAATGCCTTTCCAATTTGATGAAGTGACAGTTGAACCTCATAACAACCTGAGGTATACAGATTCCAAATTTCTGATGTGTGAGTCTTATGCTATGAAAGGCTAACAATCTAGTTGATTAAGACCGATGCAAGTTTTGCTAATGTCTCTAGTATCTTCTGAAGTAATTCACATCCTCATTCACACAGTGACTGGTCATTTAAGTGAAAGGAGCCAGAGACTGACATGGCCTGGGCACCTTGCCTAGTGGCTCCCCTTCCCTCTGCCTCCATCAAGGAAGAAAAGTTTTCATCAGCGTACCAAGTTTACTTGATACAGATACTGCATGTTAAAAAGGCGTTCTGTTAGTTAATGTCCTTCAGAAACTTCCATAAGAGAACTTCCATGATCAAATAGCACCTTAACTGAACACTCAAAAGCTGCTCATCCGTTATTATTGAAGTTACAAAACTTTTTTGAGCGAAGGTTAAACGTTTCCTTGAATGTTTTTTTACTTGGGCAGAGCAACTGGTTTTCTTTTTCATGTCTCTATCCCATTAACACAAGTTCTGCCCTTATCCGTGAAAAAGTGTCCCTTTCAGATTCCAATAATTCGAGTCGTCCGAAGTGAAGCAATAATTGTAGAAAGGAGCCTAGAAAAATTCCTGGGACACATGAAGCGATGACAGGGAAGAAAAGGGAATGTCCTTCCCAGGTCGAGTTGCTGCGACCTTCCCATTCGACTGGAAGCAGTTCGACTGACTCGATACCAACATGCCGAATATGTCTGGTGAAGGAATGCGCCAACAAACTCGTGACCCCTTGTTACTGTAAAGGTAGGTCGGGAACTTCTCGTCGTCCTCATTTCCTACGACATTAATATTCCAAAATTGACAACAAAAAAAATAGGTTCCCTTCTCTACGTCCACAAGTCATGTCTGGAAAGATGGCTGCAACAAAACAGGTCCGAAAATTGCGAGGTCTGCGGCTGTCGCTATCGAATGAGGAAAAACAGCAAGGTGAGGGAAACTATCTGGCGTTTGGCTTAGCCCTTGATTACGTGACGCGTCGATGTCTGCGGGTCCCACGTAGTCGTTGTGGACCTGGATGAAGAACCCTGGGGACACAGGAGACAAATTGCGACTGGCCTGGGATATCGGCTGCTTCGTGGTGCTTCTGCCCCTGGCCACGTTCAGCACTTGGTATTGCGTGGAAGTCGGTCTGGAATACACGACTCACGCGGGCGGGAAATCCTCCAACATTTCCACGGGACTCTACGTCCTCTCCGCTCTGCTCCTGGTCATTTTCGGGGCTTGGACTGTCCTCATACTCAGGTTTGCATTTCTAATCTGGAAACCTCGATCTAAGCCTTTAACCACGTGGGCATATGCTCCCTCTCTCTCAAGGGAGAACATCCACGACTACCTGGATTGGCGGAAGTCTCATTACGACGTGGAACTGCTTCTGGAGCCTTTCGCCGTCCAAATGGAGGCGAACGAGAATGACAACGACAAACATCAAGAGATTGGCCAAGTGGTTCCCGATGTCTACATTATCGCCAATACTGTCCGCCTTGAGGTCACAACTTGAAACGCTTTAACACCGTATCAAAGACGACCTCCCCAATTACGATGCTTCGTATCCAGAAGAAAATCACACATTTTCCGAATTGCAAATACTGATATATGAGACCATAACTTCACTGTCAACTTCACTAGCAAAACCTTCCAAGTCAATGCTAATTTCATAATAAATATTAATTCGAAATCGAATGAAGAATATTGTCACATTCGGACCCTACGTGCTTCATGACTGAAACTCGAGTTATGACACAATTCATCCTCTGAATGCTGACGTAATGTGCATAATGTATCTTGGTCTATAATGGAAAAATAACTATCATGACGACGGGAGATCACCGCGGAGGAAGACGGATTGCAGGGAGACCAAGGCTACCCAAGTCCCAATAGGGTAATTCACTTTTGGAACCGATACACAATAACACCAGCACAGGTTTTTTTTTGCACTCTCGTATTACACTTACAGTTGAAGATCGAATGCCGGGATGTCTAAGTGTATGTAGGAGGGTATGCATGCGTGAACCGCATTCCACTTACACGTTGTGGGTTCATTGGGGTTGCACTATCTGAGGGTCCTTGGAAGGTGTAAACTGCTATCCCTGTCTCTTTCCATCACATGCCAACCTCATGCATTCCATGTCTATCACATGTAAACCTCTGGTATTTCTCTGCGCTGCCATGTCTATGCACCAGCACTAACGTTGCACAAGCAAAACAACTGGAATACCCTGACAATTGTCAAGGGATGCTTGCAGGACCTCGACGTGATAATTTTCGCGAGAAAAACAAGCCGCTACGTATACGTGTCGAGTAACTGGCATAGGTAGGAAATCGGCAAGGGGGGAGGGGGGTTGAGGCCAGGTAGACACCCCAACCTTACACCTAGCTCCACCATCCGGAATTTACTTTTTCGAAGAAATCGTGGTCTGGCATCTTGGGTCTGTGGACGGACATCAGACTTTCCTCGAAGGGAGATAGCTAAAATTGGAATTCCCAAGAAGGTTTAAATATGCCTGTCAGCGTCACTGACTGGGAAGTCTAAGGGAGAGGGGGGGGGGTTCTAACCCTGTAAACCACTCCCTGTTCTACGCCACTGGTCGAGTGCAACCTTCAATATTTTTTAGGGAACATTTTTGGAATGTAATATGAAATGTTGACTTCAATAACTTTGTATTTAGAATTTCAAATACAATTGCAGTTTTCAATCCTATTTCATAGAATGTTTCAAAGGCACGAAACGGGGCATTCTCGCCTCCTGTTCTATTCTATGTTCCCTTCGTTCGGCCTCGAGTGTCTTCGCATTTACGCGACGGGGAGATTCCATTCCCCTGATGCAGAGAGGTCGTTCACGATATGAGCTACGAATTTTAGGAACTCGGGGAAGCTTGGGTCGACGAGGAATCCCTTCACTTGCTCCGTCAGCCTTTCGGAATCCAAGCTCAAATCTTCATTCTCGAACCTGAAGAGGAAGCGCATGAGGTTTGAAAATGAAGAGAAACGCAGAGAAAAAAAGGACCAACGACAAAAAATGACAAAAAGGCAAAAAAGGACCAACGACTTTCAACCTGCATATACAGTAACTGCTCTGGGGCTATTTCCATGAAAATTGCTTTGTGCATAGATTGATATGTACCCTACGGGCTTTTGAAATTTCATCCGATTTGATGGAGACAAGGCAAGGCCGTGATCAATTATACAAAATAGATCGGAAGCGAAAATGGAAAGGGGATTCAAATCCTCTTTCAGCACCTCATTCTCCGACTTTCGAGTCTTCTTGCCTCGTTCTCTGCCTGAAGACCAAGGAAAAAGCTGAATAAACTTTGAACAAGATTTGATACTTATTGATTCATCTGAAATAAATTGAAATTAAGCTAATCAAAACTACCTGCAAGATAAGGCCAGCCTAAAGAATGGAATATCTAAGAATTTGGATTTGATATGGCCTGGATGATTCGCTTGGGCGTTTCTTAAACTTCACTACCAGCCAGAACTCTTGTTCACCTGTTGGAAACATATTCTAAATAACTAGCACATAAATACCGCTGTTAGTATTCAGCGAGGTGTCAACCTTCTAGGTAATGATGGACCGCCCACAGTGTCGTCAGGCGACCTGGGAAGGAAATCCTGGAAAGCTGCGTGGTGCCAATAGCGAAGCATACGTGGTGGTCTGAGGTGCCGCTCGTGTGAAGGGAGTGAGTGGGATGTTCATCGTAAAAAGGGAACGGAATTATCTGAACAGCAGTACCTTGATGTATTAAAAATAAGATTCCTTCCTCGACAAGTGGTTGGTGTCTAAAAGAGAAATGTATAATTATCCATGGCAGTGCTGCCTGCCACAAGGTAGAATATGTTGCGAGGTGGTTGCATAAGGAGAAAAAGATTTGAAATGGCCGGGGAAATTCCAAGATATGAATACCATTGAAAATTTGTGGTAATAAAAAAGAGAAATATGCCAGAAGAATGTCGACTAACTATCGAAGACAAGGTAAGCTAACTGAGTATTTGATTCAGGACTGATCTCATAATCCTGAAATTGCAAAAAATGATAAATTGTGGTCAATTCAATACCTGAAAGAGTCAAAGCAGTCATCAAGAGCAAGAGACCCCCAACTAAATGGTGATAATAGAGGATTGGAAAAGGAATGAAAATGAAAGTGAAATGCTTCATAAATTTTAAAGTTATTTTCTCACATTATTCTAACAGCTTGCCCACCCCCTGTATAAATTGATTTAAAATCGTCGGTCTTATTTTGCCAAACCCTGTAAATTGAAGTAACGAATGCGTGTAAGCAGTACACGAGGAACTTGCGAAAGAAGTTTCGTCCCTCGAGGGCAGATCTCTCAGCCGTTTTCTCCCCGTCGGCCGCGAACGACAGGCAGAAGAGTCGGAAGAAGTCCGAACGAGGAACCGGATACTTGACGGAGATGGAGGAGCCGCGATGAAAGGCGAGGGCTTGCCTCGGACCCTCGAAGGCGAAAAAATCCACGAGGACCGTCTCGTGCCAGACGTAGAGGATCCATTGCTCCTCGGTCAGCAAGAGCGCCAGTTTGAGGTCGGGATCGCGGAAGACCCGCCAATCGCGTCGCCCGTCCTTCCCCGCGACGCACACTCTGTATGCCTCCAGCTTCCACGTCTTCTCCATTCTCAACGCGATTCCTACTTCTTTCGACATAAAAAAATAAGAAACTCGAGCTGCAGGAACAACATGAATTTATGAACGCGCAAGCTCCCGGAGTCACTGCTTATTGCATTTAGATCTCACGAATTCCGTGAGTCATTCTTATAAAAAAAAAACAAGCAAAACACTGTCGAATCGCGAAGAAATGGTCACTGGGTCATTTCTTCTTTCCCTTCCAGTGAAGCTAATCGATTATTATCTCATTTTAAACCTAGACACCCAGCGATCCCTCCAGAGATCAATGGTTAATCGCATCCCTTTTCACGCTCTCATAGACGTGGACCCAAGAAACTATTTCTTCGGTCATAAACAGGAATTACGTGACTTCACAAGCGATCGATCTGGCCACGTCTTCCACTTGGTGCAAACAGTGTGACACCATTCTCGGTTTTCTGCATTTGTGCATTTCCAGGGGGACTCAAGCATCTTATGAATTCAAGTGATGGAAGGGGCTCAGTGTTTCTTGGTACAACTGAAGCGCAATGGTATATTCCGCATAAATATTTTATGACAGTTGATCAATTCTGGTTTCAAGAAGACAGGTCCGTGAAAATCACAATAACATATCTCGCAGGGTGCAATAATTTAAAACTGCTACCGACGATATTCAAGTTTCAGCGACAATCGTCCAACTACTGCAAATCCCTTGGCTCTTTCAGAACTTTGAGCTACAGCGCACATGAAACTGAGGCCCACTGACCCACTCGCACTTTTTAAAAATTGTTCATCCCTCCCTGATTCCAGGAGAGATCGATCGCTCCAAGTTATTGCAAAGCCTGAGGCACCGGCATCTTGGGATCCATCTTGTTTCCGGTTGACCCGACAGGCAGATTTAAGCACCGGCCGGTAGGAATGGGTCGAAAAACCTGAGAACGCACTCCACCCCACAAAATAACCGCGTCACGTTGTACAGTACATCCAGGTTCATTTGCAGATCGTTTAAACTATACGAGAACAATTAGGTAAAGCAACGCGCGAGACAAAACCATGCATGGACCGAATCTCATGGGAAGAGGAACGTGCGGCGTGAGTCACGTGACTCACGCCGCACGTTCCTGGTACCAGGCCGCAACGAGGCCGACAATGGATGGAAGGGACTTATTTCTCGCTTTTTCATCACTTCATCTTCACGATCCCACCCCAAGTCCTTATTCCCATCCCGGAAACGGAACCTTACTTACTCGTTAATATCGAATGGAAAAGTCTGGCTTGGGCACTTTAACTTGAGAGCTTTCTTCGTTAACCCTTGACTGAATTTGGACTCGAACTGAATTTGGCTACTCTAGCCAATATCACGGAAGCTGTAATTAGACAAACAATAGCGCAAACAATAGTTGCCAAACGATTAAAATATTCCAGGCCGTGATCGACACATAAGGATTTCTACAGTCAATGATGAAGTTGCTTACATTTTAAGGCCGATGTATCGCCCAGCCGTGCTTTAGGGACGGGCATCGAGTCCAATATTTCGGCCCGGCCGTGCTAAGAGGGTTAAAGAACAATTTGTGAAAACGGAGTAGGCCACGTGAGCAAAGAGAATGTGAAGACGAGAGCTTCAGCCAGTGTCAAGATCCCGGTGCTTTTACCCACGCGTCCGCCGGTGTTTACAACTTTACTGTGTGGTCCTAGGGCAGTTGATTGGTGACCCGAGCTCCCGCCAGATGTCCTCGGCAGCTGTAGAAAGCTCTCGTGCGTTTTGCAGGCACTGTTAATCTTTTTCTTTTTCTTGTGATGATTAGGAGTACTCTTATTTACTCCTTTCACTGTCAAAGACGAAGGGACTCAGATTTACCCTTGGACTTTCGTGTCACATTCCGCCACTTTAATCAGAACTTTAATCAGGACCCTCTGCACAATTTTCGGCCCTAATATCGTCACCAATGGCAGAGCAGCACAACAACGAATCAAGCGCATAGGGCTATCGCCCTATATGGGTGAAGCATCAACCACTTCACTCCATGGTATGCAGTGGCAGCAGGGCCAGCCTTTAGGCATGTGTCACTTGTGCACCTGCACAGGGCGGCAAATTCACCTGGGGCGCCAAAACGAGACTGAACGAATGAAGCAATAATGGATGCCACCCTCAGTTTAACTTCAGAAAATGGAAGCCAATCCTGATCAAATGTGTGTGTGTGTGTGTGTGGCCCGGGAGGGGAGGGAGGGCGCTGAGAGTCTCTTTGCACAGAGCGCCGAAATAGCCAGGGCCGGTCCTGAGTGACAGAGCAAACAAGGGAGGGAAGGGGGGGGGGGGGGGGTTGGTTCCCAAGTTTGGTTCAAGCCCCCCAAACTCTGGTCTAAATTCCCCCCCCCCCCCCCCCCTGGAGAAGTTAGTGAAATTCAACCCCCTCCGTTCCCCTTAGCCCCTTGATTGTCGAATTCCTGGCTGTGCCACTGATGTTACGGTTTGTTAAGAAATATGAAGCATGTTAGCGAGAGAAAAGCAAATCTAGAGGAATTATAGCCACCAATTATAGCAAACCACCATGCTGGAAATAGAATTTGGATGTTATCTAGGCCGATAAATGCAGGCTGCAGACATCGAACTGTCACAGCACTGAAAATGGACAGAGTTAGTTCAAATCCCTTTAAAATATGGAAATACTTGAAAAAGGATTAGACCATAGGAAGTAACCTCAAACGAGAGCCCCTGAATTAGACCTACTTCAGGGGTTCTTTCTCGAACGAAGTGTGTACTTGGATCTCAAACGAAGCACATCCGCTACCTAACGACTCTTTTCGCAAGCCTGCTGCTATTCGCATTCACAGAGGGTGCTCGCATCACACAGCATTATGGCCGCCCGCATCCAATCATGAGGGTTTCACACCGAGTCAACCTCTTCCCAAGCTGATTCTAGCGAGCAGGGTTGAGCCTACTCTTGGTAGGCCTGCTCAGGATGGTCACCAAGGCCTCTTTTACTAAGAAGGCATCCCTCGTGAACTTCTTCGTGTATTGCACTCGGTACGGGCAGGAAGAAGGCGATGTGAGTGCCCGGTATTGATAGTCTGGGTCTACATTAGAGTTCCAAAGACACGACACTGTTAATCCCCAAGTACCATGCCAGTAAATCCATCTTTATGCTGGATCTTTTATAGGAGTATCAGAAGGTGCTGTACTACTACCCTCCTGAGGCATCTGAGGACTCAAAGATCCGAACTGTGGGTTTGGCAGAGGCTGTCATCAGGTTCACAGGGTGAGTGACTTCATTTTCCAGCTTACTACGACGTAGCTGGTACTATGTTCGAAGTCTTCATGGAGTGGACATGTTGCTTCACTCAGGACATTCAATTGTGAGCATCCCTGTGAATACCTGACAACCAAGAAGACGAAGCAGTATTTCTATGAACCTGAGCCAGATTTCTGGATGGCAATGGTAAGTAGGGCTTCATAAGCTAAGGAAAAGCTTAGTTCTTTAAGTTAGCGATGTATGAAGGGAATTTTCCTATAGGCCCACTCTCAAATATCTCCAAGACCATAGGAATCCCTGTGACTGAGAAGGTCAAGGATGGTGTATCGGTGCCTGAGTATTGTTCAGAAGATGTTTGGAGCAATGTTTATCGCTCCATCCTCATCCAGTCCTATGAGATGTTCAGGTTTTTCATGGGCACTTTTGAAAGTGTCTTGACAAAGGTCTCAGATGATGTGAATGGACTCAAGAGCAGATTAGAGCATTTCTACTCAAAAGTGGGTTCTGCTTCCCTCAGTTACTTTTGATTTTTAGCAGTGGAAAATGTTTTAAGGTGGGATTTTTCCTGTGATGCAGTATGTTCTGACAATGGAACTTGAACATGCCAGCCTTCTGGATGCCATCCATGGCCTGATATTCCTTCCATTGGATAGGCAGAACTTCTTGAAAATCCATTGCTTAGTCAATCTCTTGGAAGAGCAATACCCCTGTGCCCGACATGTGGTCTTTCTTTACAACGAAATGCTGGTTTGGTGAGTCTTGGCACCGGAGCTCCTTGGTTTCCTACAGAACCTATACATGGAGAGTCATCATATGTGCTCTCTGTCTTTCATACAGGAGTGGCTTAGAGCAGAAGGATATGCAAGTATTTTATAGATACCTCACAACCAATCTCTTCCCTTCCTGTGCCCCTGAAGTCATGAATTCAGGAAGAATGACTCCACAAGCAGGAAGGTGAAACTTTCTCCATGAGTGAAATTCTTTCCAATGCATTTCTAATGTTCTTGTCATTGAATCAATCTGATTGATATTTTTAAAGGTTTCTCTTGGGTCCCCCTGATGTGAAGGAAGAAGAAAACTTTGGGAAAATTCCACATGTGATTCTTCATGCAGGCCCAACCCCTGAAGAATTACAATTGGTCATCTATAAGCTGCAGAATGCCTGCATCTGTATTTTCATTGATGGTACTTGTAGGCCTGGGCCTGTTTGTTTTCCCTGGTTGTTTTTATGGGACATCTTTTATATGGATAATTTTATATATCCCACAGACACATTACAGCTGACAATGGATTTCTTCAGAAAGTTGGAGGCTTTCCTGTTGACACATGCTCCTCCTGTGGTGGAGGACGTGACCACACAACAAGCCAAGCGGCTCCATTCTGCTGCCCCCGACCAGCATTTCAAATATGTATACTTCAATCGCACAAATTTAGCTCAGAAGAACACAGTGATAATTGAGCCTGGGGACCGCAGCTCTGGTGGCATTCCTGTAGAAGCCCTTCGCCTTTTACCTGACCTCCATTCTGATCTCCACCAGTAAGTTTCCTTGATTGAATGCAGAAACAGCAGGTCTGAAATTTGAACCTCATTCACATGAACCCTTGTGTATGTGTCCAGCATGGGAACCAGAGTGGAGATTGCAGCAAAGATGACCAATGATTACTGGGTGGTGGCTAAACTCTCTGACAGTCGGGAGTTCTATGTTGTACTCAATCAAAAAAGTGCCAGCCTTCTTGAAATCACTGGTAAGTGAAGATCCTATGGAAGTATAGTTCAGCTGGGTAGTAAGTTGTTAATTTGACATGCTTAGGTTGCTGCACACCTATCAGCCAAGTCGCAAACAAAAGCATCAATTGCCCATCCTTTGAGCATGCTCATTGAAAGGAGCAGTACAGATCTATCAGGAGAGTCCCTTTAGTCAAGGACAATTAATTCAATATCTCATGAAGAGGAAGTACTTTTTCTGTGATGGACATGAGGTACAGAAAGTTTAAGATGAAGCAGAGGCATTGAGTGTACCTGATTTGCAAAATTTCAAACGAAAAGGGGTAATTCCATAAACAGTCAGAACCATATGATCCAGTAAAAATACACAAGTTTTGCCTCTAGTCTGCAGGTTCCCTCTGAAAAATTGAATAAGCACAAATAATAAAATATAACAAGTATGTTACTCGGGAGTCTTTTGCTTTATTATTTTTTATTACTTATTCTGGGAAATCTTCCCTTGAGCCATCTAGTGTTGTGGCATGATGCCCCTTGTGAATGGAGTCAGAGCCTAGTGGATGCAGTGAGCAGAAAGAAACAAACTTGCTTGGCCTCTTGCCTGATTGGAGTGCAACTGTCTAAGAAAAACCCAGGTCATCAGGGAATCAACTTTCATTCAATAGTCAATGACAGGGAGATTTTTCTTTAAAAAAACAGCATTTTCCTTGATAACAGAGGAGGTGCAGAAGCTCTGCAGATCCCAGTTCAACAACATCTTCTTTGTGGACTGAAGTCCACATCATTCCAAGCTGAGAGATTCGCCCTTGGATTCCCCCAATGTGATGAACTCCAAATAGGTTTAATTTTTTGAAGTTTTTATTTTTCATGCTTCAAGAAAGACTTACACTCCATGGGACTTTGATTGCAGTACTAGAAATATGATACTTTTAGTGCTTATAAGAGTAATAATTGCGAATTTCCTGCAGCTTGAGATCCATTGCTTGTTCTTGAAGATTAGGTAAATCAGTTTAAGTTAGTCTGACAATGAAGGGGAAGACATACTTAAGTTTGATTCACTAGTACCAACATCCCCAGCCGTTCTTCATGTAATTTCCATATTTATACAAAAATAAAAATATATAAACAAGAGGAACTGTTGCTTTCTTTCACTTATCTTTCCAAATCATGTAACATTTAGATGTGTCGCAATATTATCAGTTGTATTGGATATGGATAAATAGGATATATATTCAGAGTGTCAATGAATATTGATATTGACTTGCTAATGAGGAGATATGAAAAACGAAATACTGCATGAATGTGTATTTGTTTTGAGTCGAGTCAGTGGAAATGAGATTTGACTCTGAAATCATATGCAATATGCTTTGGAAACATTTCCTGCAGACACTTGTATAATTCCTCTGAGAGACTCATTGTTGGTATCTGTCTGTCAGTGTTGGAGCTTTGAGACCCTGTCAGATATTGGCCAAATTAGAATATTGTGACACATCTAGTACAATCCAGAGAGTTGATATCATGTGGGTGAAACGCATTGCTGCAGAGGGAAGCATAGAGACATCACAGTATTTTGTGTTACAAGGAACCATTCACCCTTAGAATATTCACAAGTCATCAAGTTCAACATGAAAAGGGGAACTCAGTCATAAAATCATCTAACAAGGGGAGAAAAAAGTGAAAATGGCCTGCCATTCCTGGAAGTACATGGATTGCAGGAAACACTGGCTTCACCCGCGTTTTCTGCATGCTCGAATTCCCATAGGGAACAAACGGGATCCCTGCCTATGTCTGTTTCGTCTTTTTCCTACAACCTGACCTTTGCAAGGGCAGCTGCCAACAAAATTCTGGCACTAGTACGCACACGATTCTCTATAATCTCTCCTTTCTCTTAAGCACTGTGATCACAGTTTCCTCTCGGATGCGGTGTCTCACATGAGAATCCGCACGAATTCTGGAAAGAAAACGGAAAAGAGACACTGAGTGGGTGCATGACTCAATCCTGGAAACTTAAAGGTTGAATGCCAGACCTTCATAGTTGATTCTGCCGTCCTTGTCGATATCGGCCAACTCGAGCATGTGGTTTAACTCGGCCTCGGTGAAAGGCTCCCCGATCAGGTCCATTGCCAACCGGAGCTCGTCCTGTCATAAACAAAACCGTTGAGAACCCCTTAAACTTCTCGTTATACCTCCTCCCTCTCTCTCTCTCGTATACCATCATGCAAGCATATTAATTTGGGAAGACAAACAGGTGACGCAGACTAAAGTAGAATAAAAAATAGTTTAGGTTAGTGATCTTGAAAACACCAGTCCGTTCTGAGAAGACGGCAGTTGCAACTTGGTAATTTTATAAATTCGTATTTTATGATTCACAAGAGAAAGAGACAACATTGAAAACGGAAAAGGGTATGTCGCAAACGACAATGAAGCTGAGTAACAAACCACGTCTGCTTCTCTGTTTCTACATGCAATGAAAATAGAATGGGATTTTCTATCTCAAGGAACAGACCAAGGATATGTTCGTCTTTTCTGGGGAGCTGAATTCGTTTTAGTAGAACCTAGTATCTGTATTCACTTTTCCCTCATCAAAGTTTCACAGGAATCCGATGCAAACCTTTATTGATAATTGATCATTTAATTTCCATTTCAATTTTTTTTTGTTCAATCTAAGAATGTGCAAAACACTGATCAAGTCGGATTTAAATTATTTCACTAATGTCTAGCTTTCGAGACAGGTCCATTAGTTTTAACCATTGATACTTGGCAGCGTCGGGTGAAACGTCGCCATCGCATGGTGCTATGCATGTCACGCGAATGTGAGTCCTGCCAAATATTCGACCTGGAAGGGTCCCCGTCTGGCAGATATCTCACCTGCCATCATTTCTCATTTCCTTCGAGTCGTTTCAGCAATGCTTGACAGGGATCGCGTGCATAAATGCATCATGCGACTCTGCACGACCCATACAAGGCCGAGGAACACGACTCGAGAGCTCATGCCTGCATTTCCTGCATTTCATGAGTCATTCCAGAAGCAGGAAAACGGGATGTAGTGATAAGAGGGCCGATGAAACTCCAAGTGGAAGGAATCCCCAGATAACGCTGATAAAAAAATTGAGGATAATGGGCCCCACGTGCTCCATAAAGGGATTCAATTAAAAGTCAGGGACATCTACAGTGCGAAGGAGACAGCAAAAGAAAAGAACCATCAGGGTGGGTTTTTGAACAGAGCATTATCCGATAATGCAGCTTTATTTCGGAGAAAATGCATTATACATCTGGTAAATAAAGCTGCATTATCGGATAGTTCTCTGTTCAAAAATCCACCCTCAGGCTTTTCACATAATTTCTTTCAGCTGTACTAACCCCCCCTAAACCTCTTACCGCAATTACATATAGAAAAGTGGCTGAAATGAGCTGCGTAGCTGTGGATGAATCCTATGAGAGTCAGATAAACATTCCACCATTGCTGCACGGATCCTAATTTCCCAACGATGGTGTCAGTTTCTATTTATTTCATGGGTGAAATGGCTGCCCTCGACCTTCAATTCCACAGCTGCGTATCAAGCATGGCCGTCTAGAGATTTGAGGAGATCTCCTCGCCTAGGTCCAAGTCCAAATCTACTCTAAATAAATTATGGTTAAACTAAAGCAGGGTGAAAATAAGTGGAGGTTCATTTATCGCCTGTGCTCCGGCGACAATCTAAATCTAAAGTAAAGGGAGTTTAAAAGGAAAAGCCTGCTCCTCGCTCAAACTGAAACTCTAACCCAATCTATATACTGTGTAGAACGTTAAAATGAAGCGGGGAAGCTCAGTAACAAACACTAGCTGGAATATGTGACAGGGAACACAATTGACGCGAAAGTAAAATCGTGGTAAGCCATGGCCAGCGAAGCAGATGAATCGTTCGCGCGGTCCCAGCATCATACAGTTCCCGATCACATTCCAGCTAATGTTCTTTCCCTTCATCCCAATATTTTAGACAGCGTTTAGATCAGGTCAGAGCGGCCTAAACGTATTCTTCCTTTTAGACCAAGTTGTAGCTTTAACGAAAAAGAACCATATCGCCATTGACTACTCTTAGTTCGATCCAGTTCGGCGTTTTTGCACAGGCAAGGAACAGACTCGGTTGCTTCTTGAACTGCGTTTTGATTAGATTTAGATTAAATTCAATTCATATTTAGATTAGATTTAAATTTGGCTTAGATAGGGACAATAATATTTTGTTTGGATTTAACATGCGAGGAACAGATTCATGGAACAAGAAAACTATTGTTTTTTAATGTTGCCCGAACACAAAGAAGAAGGATGCTCCTGCCACACCAGAATGGACCAGAATGAATAGAGGGTTAACATTGGAAAGGGGCCAGATCCGTGGAGATCTCATTCTTCTATCCCCTTGCGATTGGAGGGAAATCCCGCATCCGTGTCCCCCGATGGCAGGAGAGAATTGCATGCAAATTGGAAATTCCTCTTCCCTCCCGCATGAAAGGGGAAACGACTATTTCCAGATGAATATCGTCTATTTCCAGGGCATCAACGGACCCGAATTAGAAGTCAATAAACAGAGTATCCCTGCAGGTACAAACACCCAATAAATCGGATCCTCTTTAGAGGATAGAGTTGATTACCTTTCGTCTACCTAGCCAAAGTATTGGGGATAGATTTTTCTCTCCTTTCTTTGCCCCTCCCTTTTTTTTTGTCCTGTTTGGCCTTGCTCTTGCACTCTTGGACCGAGTTCAAACTTGGGAACTAATGATCGAACGGATTTTTTTCTCTCCCTCTCCTCCTTCCCTTTTTTTTTTCCCTTGCAGCCTTGAGTATCCCCCAGACCCTACAGACTGATTTTTCTTCCTTCTTTCCCCAACGTGAATGGAACGTATCAGGTGTTGTGTGGAATAGAAAAAAAAAGGGTGAAAAGAAGTCGTTCGTGACGGAGGAGATGAAAGACATTAAGGTGATGAGAACGGAATCCCTGACTCCTTGTTCCCGAGATTAGTCCACTTGGAGGCACACGAATATCTGCGGGGATACATCCTCTCTCCTCCTCCTTTTCTCCTCCATCCGGATGCGGAGAGCATCTTAGTTTTCCACTCTTCTCATCTCGACCTCTTTCCGGTTTCCGGTATATTCTGTGCGTTCCAAGATTCTGGACTCGTAAGCTCGTTCCGTTTTCATCTTAGCTCATCTTAGCACGAGCGAAACATCCGGCCTCACATCCGCGACATCACCCACGTCCATTCTGTCGACAAGGTGTCCCAAAAATTGTGAACTCGAAGGCGGAATCGCACATCACAGCACGACATACTGGCCTTCCGTTTTGAGGCATAACCGGAGACGAATGCGGCTGCGGCGCACACGCGCTAACGTGTCTGTGATCATGCAAGCACTCGAGCACGATCTCATCACGAAAGTGGGTTGGCGTCAAGGATGCGTGAGGCATCATGGCGCCATATCTCACTCCAGCAATTGAAAAAACGGAGTCGCAGTCTTGAGTTCTGGAATACTGTATACGAAGCAACTGCTTCCAGTTCTTTCTCGCTCCCTCTTCGAGTGATCTGTTTTCCTAGAGCCCCGAATTTGGCCAATTAGCCCAGGAACGATCTTTCCTCACTCCTCTCTCACCGCGAAATCACCGTCACCGTTATATTGCTTGGAGAAGGGTGAATAATGGGTGTCAATACAGGGGGAAAAAACGACCTGTAAGACATCAAGGAGAATGAAGACCCACGCTATGAACTCTTCCAGAAATAATAAAATATATATTGGAGTGGGAGACAGGGATCGAAGCGGCTTTAGCAACCTAACACACCTATTCTTAATGGTAGACCCAAAAGAAATATTTTTCCCTCCGCAATTTGTAAAAAGTTAGTGATGATGCAATTGAGACCTATGAGAGAAACCAGATGTCAATTTACAAAATTGCACCCATGATACACTAGTGCTCAACAGCGTGACCATAATTTTTCATCTCCATTCATTTTTCACTGTTTCAGGAGAGAGAATTAAACCTCAAATCAAATCAAATGTAATCTTGTAGTGCCATTGAAACTAATATTGAGATGATCGATTCAGTTGAAGTTTCTTTTAAAAAAAACCTTTGTATGACGAGGAAAAAATTCCCGGCTCAAAAGGTTATTAAGGCTCTGTTCTCTTCCAATTCTCTCGACACGACTTAAAATGTGTTTTCATAAAATGTCGGCCAATAGGCATTCTAGTGCATCAGCTTAGGCTTTCACTTTTGCAAGAAGGAGGAAATAGTGCAAATAGCGTTGACCATTTTGACTCTTCTCTCATATTTGTGCAGCACATCAGGCACGACCAGCGCGGATACAAGCAGTGCGACTCTCTCTGACTCCTCGCTGCAAATGGTCTCGGCTCTGACGTCTTTAGTTGAGTCTAAGGTGAATAGATAGATGAGGTAATGACAGGAGCGATTTGGATGCAGTGTTCGCTCTCACTTTCATTCTTTCAGTTTCTCTTAATGAGTAACCGCCCCCCGCACACTACTACGTCGCGTCATCTCTTGATGCGCACTGAGACACTTCAATATTTTCACGTGGAGACATCGCAAGTTGCGATTCATACTCCTGCTGTACAGCATGCTGAATATTGGGGACAATACACAGCAGCAGCAGCAGTTAACGGATGGCAAAACTGGACGTTTCTACCAGCGATTTCAGTTCTGCACCTGCTTTACGCTATTTTCTTCTGGGATCTTAAAAAATAGGAATTCTTTCTGTTCAATCCAGCAAGCCACGAAGCACAACATTTTTGCCGAATAGCATGCTGCAATCAGCTGCCGCTAAAATTGCTGTACTGTAAACGCGCACGTAATCCTGCGACTTCTTCACTCGATGGAAATAAAGAGAATCTGAAAAGAGGCGAAAGACACGAGAAATAACTGAAAGGCTGATTCCTGTGGGACCAATGCGGAACTTCGAAGAGGCTCGAACTCATAACCTTGTTTGAACTCCACCTCATTTCAAGATCTAGGGTGGATTTTTGAACAGAGCACTATCCGATAATGCTGCTTTATTTACCGGATTTACAATGCATTTTCTCTGAAATAAAGCAGCATTATCGGATAATGCTCTGTTCAAAAATCCACCCCTAGCCTCGTGCGGAACGTGGGGCTCGTCTTCGTGCGAAGCGCGAGGCAAACGGAAAGAACGACATAAGTCCCTTCGTCAAAGGCAGTCATCCTAACGAGAAGCCACTCCTCGCCGAGCACGGAAGCCTACTTCCACGCTAGTGCGAGAGAAGTGCGCATTAAGTGCCTCCCGCACGAGAGCGCTGAAACTGGGTCCATGTAATCGTTTTCGTCGGGAGAGAAGGGCTGCCGAGTTCCACTCGGATTCCAGACGATTACTGGAATCGATAACGTAGGGTGCGGAAGGTTTTTCCAGTTCGATGGCAGCAACAGAACCTGAGGGAACCGACTTAAGTTGCTAGATTCCCAGGGGAGGCGCAGGTTGCGACAGGATTTCTTTACTTGTTGGGTTTTGAACGCGTGGAATGCGTTGAGTGATGATGTAGTGGCTGTCCTCATCGTGACTAGCTTTAAGAGGAGGTAAGATGCCTTCATGAACGAGGCAAAAAAGGGAGCAATGTAAACAAGCGACGAGGCATCAAGAGGATATGGTTCCACAAAAATATCTATCTTTAAGAGGGGTAGGTCTATCTTATGATACGGATGTGGATATGAAACGCTGGACCTTGACACGGGATGTCCTAATGGGCAGAAATGCCTCTTGAGATCCCCATCTGAACCTACAACCTAGACGCGAATCTGCAAAAATCCGCCCGGACTGGTCCACGAGACCGTAATGGTTTTTGGCCCACAACTGCGGATCTCTCGCACCGATCAGGTCGAGACC